CACCTGCTGGCAATGGCGTGGGTTCCAGTGGACGCTTCCAGTCGGGCTCTGGATTTGGGTCCGGGTTCTCATCAAGCTCTTCAGCTGGCAACGGGCAACTCCAGTCTGGCTTAGCAGGTAGCAGCGGCTTTGGATCTGGTTCATCTAGTGGAAGGTTCTCATCAGGCTCATCTGGCACTGGCTTTGGAACAAGCTCACTGAGTGGTAACAGATTTGGGTCTAGTTCTTTTGGAAGTGGTTCCCAGTTCAGTTCAGCAGGGTCATCCGGGAGCAATGGGTTTGGGTTTGGTTCCTCAAGGGGATCTGGAGCACAGTTTGGTTCTTCTCTTGGCAGTGGAATTCAGTCTGGTTCTCAGACTTCTTCTGGAAATAGCGGCAATTTCCAGTCCAGTACATTTGGCAGTAACACTGTAAAACTTGCTGGACCAGGTACCTTCTCCACAGGTGGTAACACAATTGGATCTGGCTCTTCCTCAGCAGTGGATTTGGATCTGGCTCTACTGTCAGTTCCAACGGCTCATCAAGTGGCAGTGGATTTGGATCTGGCAGTTCCAGCAGTCAGTTCCAGTCAGGCTCATCTAGTGGCAGTGGATTTGGATCTTCTTCCTTCAGCAGTGCTGGTGGATCTTCTTCCCTCAGCAGTGGATTTGGCTCTGGCTCTACTGGTCAGTTCCAACCAGGCTCATCAAGTGGCAGTGGATTTGGATCCGGCTCTACTGGTCAATTCCAATCAGGCTCATCAAGTGGCAGTGGATTTGGGTCTGGTTCTTCCCTCAGCAGTGGATTTGAGTGGATTGGATCAGTTCTAGCAGTCAGTTCCAGTCAGGCTCATCAAGTGGCAGTGGATTTGGATCCGGCTCTACTGGTCAATTCCAGGCTCATCAAGTGGCAGTGGATTTGGGTCTGGGTCTTCTTTCAGCAGCGGATCTGGGTCTGGCTCCTTCAACAGTGGATTTGGATCTGGCTCTACTGGTCAGTTCCAGTCAGGATCAAGTGGTAGTGAGTTTGGTTCTGGTTCTTCCTTTAGCAGTGGATCTGGTTCTTCCCTCAGCAGTGGATTTGGTCCTGGCTCTTCCACCGGTCAGTTCCAACTAAGTTCATCCAGCGGTCTTGGCTCTGGTTCCTCCCTCAGCAGTGGAGTTAGTTCCAGTTCTTCCAGTGGACAGTTCCAATCAGGTGGTAGTGGATTTGGATCCAGCTCTGGTGGGCAATTCCAATCAGGTTCACTGGGCAGCAGTGGATCTGGATTTGGATCCTCCAGTGGAAGCAGCAGTGGATTTGGATCAAGTTCTTCACTCAGTGGTGGATTCCAGCCTGGCTCATCTGGTGCTGGAGTTAGTTCAATTTCTTCCCTTAGCAGTGGATCACAGTCTGGTTCTACATTTGGATCATCATCTGGTTCTGGTATTAGTTCTACTTCCTCCTTTGACACTGGATTCCAGCCCAGTTCTCTATCTGGTTCTGGATTTGGTTCAAGTTCTGGATCCCAGTCTGGTTTCTCATCTGGATCTGGTAGTGGATTCCAGTCTGGTTCATCATCTGGTTCTGGAATTGGCTCCACTTCTTCCCTTAGCAGTGGATCTCAGCCCAGTTCTCTATCTGGTTCCCCATTCGGTTCAGGTTCTGGATCCCAGTCTGGTTTCTCATCTGGATCTGGTAGTGGATTCCAGTCTGGTTCTGGAATTGGCTCCACTTCTTCCCTTAGCAGCGGATCTCAGCCCAGTTCTCTATCTGGTTCTGCATTCGGTTCAGGTTCTGGATTCCAGTCTGGTTTCTCATCTGGATCTGGTAGTGGATTCCAGTCTGGTTCATCATCTGGTTCTGGAATTGGCTCCACTTCTTCCCTTGGCAGTGGATTCCAGTCCAGTTCTCTATCTAGTTCCCCATTCGGTTCAGGTTCTGGATCCCAGTCTGGCTTCTCATCTGGATCTGGATTTGGTTCTGGCTCTTCCCTTGGTAGTGGATTCCAATCCAGTACCTCATCTGGTTCCGGATTTGGTTCAGGTTCTGGATCCCAGTCTGGTTTCTCATCTGGATCTGGATTTGGTTCTGGTTCCTCATTTGGTAGCGGATTCCAGTCTGGTTCATCCGGTGCAGGATTTGGATCAGGTTCTTCCCTTGGTGGTGCATTCCAGTCTGGCTCATCCGGTTCTGGTTTTGGATCAAGTTCAAGTGGATTTGGCTCAGGTTCCTCATTCCTCAGTGGATCGCAGACTGGTTCCTCTTTCGGAAGTGGATTCCAAGTTGACCCTCTGCCAGCTGATGGAGTATTTGAGCCTCTGAATCTCCCTGCTGAAGCCTCTCAACTACTGGGAAGAGTCTCAACCTCCTTCTCCTGCGCTGACCGTCCCTATGGATATTACGCTGACGAGGAGAACTCCTGCCGTGTTTTCCATATCTGTTACCCAGCTCGTTTCTCCACTGGTGCTATCGAAACCTATCAGTACAGGTATGTTCTATAATATTGCATAGTGAATTGATATATATAGCTATATATAAATATATATATATATATATATATATTAATATTATTTTTTTTTTTTAAGATTATGATCTGAAGTATGATTTTGAGATTTTACATCATCTGTTAAGCTATGAATACATGATTGGTTACTCTTTTTACTAAAGTCTGATTTTCAGAAGCTGAATTTTATAGACAATGCAAAAGTAATATAAAATGCCCTATTTGTTCTCCAGCTTCCTGTGCGGTGAGGGTTCTGTATTCGACCAAAAGGAACTTACCTGCAAGGTCCAGTCTGATGCTGTCCCATGCCAGGAATCCTCTAGTTACTACTACACAAACGAGCAGTTCGGTCGCCCTGAAGAAAAATCGCAATAAGTCTGCTGAAGAAGACGACTTTTCTGCCGACACAACGAATGTATATTTATATGATATTAAATAAAGTTTAAGTATTACAATTTTTCTCTCAGTGATGTCCATATCAAACATGATTCAACTATTCATGGAACTATCAGTTGGGATTTGTAGATCACTTAGATCAGGCTAGTCATGTAAATTCAAAAATATAATTAACAATATCATAAATTCTCACAAATATGAACTGAAAAAAGACATTGACTAACGAGCTAAAACTCATACATTATGACATACAATGGACTCATTTTTCTCTGTTTCCAATGAATGTTCAACTATGATATATATATGGTAAATGTTACAATGAGTTAAATATACCCCATATTAGAACATTATATGGTTGATTAGACTGATATATCGGCCTACCACAAGCGTTGTTATTCAAATGAACAGGCAAATCTCAGATATATAAGCTATCCTATTCCAGGACTCATTACAGAAGCAAAACAAGAATAAAACAGATGTCAAAAAGAAGACAAAGATGCATTATAAATTGCAGTATCCATAAAAGGCTTTACTAGTATCGAAAAGGAAAATCTATATGCAATTTGCTTTTGGATCACTGTCGTCTGCATTATTTACCGCATCGTAAAGGATGTTAGGCCTACCAGAATACAAGTGACATTCTAAAGCTATTGTCATTTATGTTAAAAAACTGAATTAAGGTCAGTTCTTTACAGCAAGGGCTAGCCTACCTGATACTTATGCTAATAGCTATTTAGTGTTACAATGGAGAAATATTCCAATGCTGAGACTTGGGCAATAAATAATAATAATATAATAAAATCATGCTGGAACGAAACTGTTCTACTTCATGGTACATTAATACATGCTTATATAGGATTATAACTAGAATTTTAGGAAATATTTGGATAACACATATATGTATGCATATACGAATAAACACATAAATACAATGTTCGATACATATACTGTATAGCTTTAGTTATAGGCCTATATAATTTGAAAAAAGAAATATCTTGTTTGTTTACTTTCATTCGATTCTATTAGATGGATTTTTAAAAATCTAACATACCACATATATCCATATTAAATTGGTTTGATTATTAAAGTAGTCCCTATAGTGACAGGTGTAAGATGCAAGGCAACTTTAATATTCCTACATGCCGAAAATGCAGTAGTTTAGTCCAATATCATATGCTTCATGTGTCTTTTAGTTAATATAACATTAATTTTGCACATTTTATTCAGTTAATATTTGACATAATGCTAATTTAATTTTGAGCTCCAGACTCAGCTGTAGCTGCTCTCTCAGTGGCAGGGATCAGTGTTCTCAGCAATTAAGAAACTAAAGAACTGCACTGTCTTCGGGGTTATTTTATACGTAGGTCCTTGAAACTCATATAACAAGTGAGCTTTATTGAAAGAAGTCACCACACACGTCAAAGTACAAAATACGCAGGCGCCAGGACAACATAAAGGCAACTTGCGATATCTTTGGGCTCAGCTGTCTCTCTCTCTGATTGGCTGAGGGGGTTGGTGCCTGCATGGAATGTCTGAGGGACCATGACTCTAAGACTGGACAGTAGAATGCAGGGCTTACAAGTAAAACAAGTTACATTAACATAGGCATAGATGGTACATACACTGTAATATAATGATCACATCTATACAGTGTTTGTTTGTTTACAGAGAATGTCCTCGAACGTTGAGGAGTGGGGGACAGAAGTTTCGTCCTGTCCCTCTTTTCCTGTGCCTATGAAGTCGTACGGTAAGTGTAAAAATGTTCGAAGGCCGAACAGCTTTCTGATTTTCGACCCATATCTGGTTCTGAGATTTGAGGGAAAATAACAAAAATGATTTAAGGTATCTTTATATTTACTTGTCCACGACTGTTACCTCTAATATCTCAAATTTAGTATCTGTCTATCAAAATAAATCAAACATGGAACACTCTGTCTAACGAAACAGAGCATCCTGACAATGATCTTTTCTTCCTTATACTACTAGAGAAAAATACGGTGACTCCTTGAATGTCATGCACATGGACTGGTCCTGTCATAAGCCTGGGAGTCCAAAATTCAGGGTCAAAGTGGTGCCTTTGTAAGACATTCTAGATTTTTTTCCCTGCTTTTCTTTCCTGTCTAGATGCCCTTCCAACTCGGGTCGACTCGAAGTGTGACCTTTCACCTTGGGAGTCAATGCGATAGGTGCTGGGTGCATTTAGGTCTGGACTCGTAAAAGGAAGATTGTAAAGGACCAGTGATTGCATTTACGATCGATTTTAAAGCACATTTTACAAATAATAATAATATATAATGATAATGAAAATAAAAGTAAATAAATAAATAAATAAAACAATAACAATGAATAAATAAAAAATAAAATACTAGTATGAGGTGCTCGATATCGACCGAATAATAATTCCCTTATGATAATGATAAAAAAAAAAATGAGAACAGTATTTGTTCATTTAAGCTTAGAATGCTAATGATAAGGTTAGAGAAATGGTGTTACCATTAATGGTGTGGTGAAAAATAATAACAGTGATAACAATTATGGAAACTAATGACACTGATTAATGATATGATTATAGTTAGTAGTGGCAGTATATTTTTCCATTATTATCACATTTATGGTCAGTATCATCGCCACTATTAATATTTTGAATTAAAGGCTATTAGTTATCATTGTCATCTTTAGCGTTATCATTTTACTTTTCATTGTCTATTTTAACATATACCTTTGTTACTTCCATTATTGTTTTTGATGAATTAATTATCAGTTTATTTATTTCTGTGTGTTATCCTTTATATGATTATTATAACAATGAATGGTTATATGATCATTGTTATAGCCATAATAAATAATTAGTAGCCATGATTGTAACTATAACAATATTACATGAATGAATTTACAATATTTCTAATTTCTGTATTATCATCATAATGTCATTGCCATTAATACTTATGTTTTTCTATCATAAAAAATAATCAACTATTAATATTACTATCATGCTTACGATTATATTCACTTGTAAGTTTTTACATGAAATAGCAGTAGTTACAATCACTCCTTGTAATGTAAATCCTTTTTCATTCTATGATTCTCCCTGGCACTTTTCATGAAAGATAAAAGGGATGTATTAACACATTTGCGTAAAATCAACACATCAGGACAAATTTATTTACAAAAGATAAGATATAAACAAAAAAAATCTTGTACACTCACGGTCCGGACTGTTGTCAACACGATATGAAACCCGTCTCGAATCATCAACTAATGCAACCCATAATACTCCAATCAGTATGGTGCTATAATGTTCNACCCATTTCTGTCCACTCGTCTCCTGCCTCTCGTCTCCTCAGCATGCAATCTTTTTCCTCGGCGCCTAAAGCAACAGGTCCCTTTGGCTGGGAAAATTCTGCCAAGATTTGCCGACGATTAGATCAAAATTGCTATTCGTCTCACTTTCCTTTTTTACATTTCTCTGCTCTTTTTCTTTCTCTTTTTCTCTCTTTCTCGTTCTTTCTTTCTCTCTGTCGCTGTCTCTCTCGCTCTCTTCTTTCTTTCTCTCGCTTCTCTCCTCGCTCTCTTTCTTTCTCTCTCTTCTCTCTCTCTCTCTCTCTCTCTCTTCATCTCTCTCTCTCTCTCTCTCTCTCTCTCTCTCTCTCTCTCTCTCCTCTCTCTCTCTCTCTCTCTCTCTCTCTTCTCTCTCTCTTTCTCTCTCTCCTTCGCTCGGTCTTTTTTTTCTTTCTCTCTGTCGCTGTTTCTCTGTCTGTATCTTTTTCTCTACTTGTGTCATTCTCTCTTTCTCTCTCTCTCTCTCTCTTCTCTTCTCTGCTCTCTCTCTCTCTCTCTCTCTCTCTCTCTCTCGCCTCTCTCTCTCTCTCTCTCTCTTTCTCTCTCTCTCTCTCTCTCTCGCTCTCTCTCTCTCTCTCTCTCTCTCTCTCTCTCTCTTTCTCCCTCCTCGCTTTCTCCCCCCCCTTCTCCTCTCTCACTCCCCCTTTCTCTTTGCGCCCTTTCTCTCCCCATGTATATGCCTCCTTTCTTATCTCCCCCCTCCCCCCTCTCTCTCTCTCACTCTCTCCTTCTCTCTCCCTCTCTCTCTCTCTCTCTCTTTCTCTCTTCCCTCGCCTCCCCATCTCTCTCTCTCTCTTTCCCTCGCCTACCCATATCCCCATCTCTCTCTCCTCCTCTCTTTCCCTCGCCTCCCCCATCTCTCTCTCTCTCTCTCCTTCTCTCCTCTTTATTCCTGACTTCGGGGCGCAGAAAACCTATGAATAATTCCAGAGTTAATTTGCACAGTCTTCACAACCCTTTGGCAAAATATAGTTTTCCCGCTTGATGCGACTCAGACGATTTGTAATCAGGGGGGGGGGGGGCTGGATCATCGGCCTGAGAGGCATTGACGAGGGGCAGTTAGGGTATGGGGGCATGGGTGGGAGGGAGGAGGGAGGGGGGTTGAGGATGTGGGGGAGGGAGGAAGGGAGTTGAGGAGGGAGAAGGGAGGGAGGGGGTTGAGGTAATGGGTGGGTGGAGGAGGGAGAGAGGGAGAGGGAGGGGAGGATGGTGGGAAGGGAGGGAGGGAGAGAGAGGGAATTGGGATGGGGGAGGGAGGGAGGGAGGGAGGGAGGGAGAGAGAGTGGAGGAATGGTGAGAGGGGAGAAGAAGAGAGAGGGAGGCGGAGATGGTGGGGAGAGGAGAAGAGGGAGGTGAGGATGATGGGGAGGAGGAGAGAGAGGAGAGAGGATGGGAGTGGAGGATACAGGGGAGTGATGGATAAGAGGTACGGTTGGAGGTATAAAGGACGAACGGAGAGGGTAGGGAGACAAGGAGAGAGGGGGGAGGGGAGGGAAGGAGGGAATGGCTGTAAGGGACATAGAGAGAGGGAAGGAAAAATGGACAATTGGTGTAAGCACAGGGGAATAAGGGCAGGGAAGGAGGGACGGAAGAAAGGGTGGTAGGAGGAAAGAGATTTTAAGAAGCGAGAGGAGGAAGAAGGAAGAAGAGAGCAAAAGCGAGGGTGTGGGAAAGGGAGGAAGGATAGTGGAAAAGAAGGAGGATTAGGGGAAAGAGGAAG